GTTTCCTAGGAATAAAGCTGTCTGAGAGAAAGGAGTTCAGAGACCTAAGGTCAGAGCTTCTAGAAGACTGTTTTCTGCCCATGAAATGTACCTCCTCAGTGTGTTCAAGGTCTGCTGAATTCTCCACAATATTCCCTAACCACAGAAGAGCAGTTTCTGAGGAGGTCGAAGTGCACAGAGAATTCTAGGCTTGGAGGAGCCAAAACATGCCACTGTGGGTTGTTTAGGAAGACGGTAGAAGTAATGTGTATAATAGCCCTACTCTGCCATTTTCATATATCGAAACCCAATAAACTATCTGTATTACTGGCGTTTTTAAAAGCCTGTGGTTGGTTAATTCAGTACAGGTTTATGGCCCTACTACGCAGTAGGGTTTTGTAAAGTATTAATGCTTCATCAATCACATATGTACTTTTCTAGAGCAGAAAGTCACCACACCTTGTCCATGGTTCTTGGGCCAGATCAGAAGGATTCTTTATGTGTTAATTGTTTTTCTTTCATTAAGGTGCTGTGAACAAAAAATGAGACTTAAAGGGCTGTGCTGGGTGTTCGCACTGAAGAGGCACTTCTTCAAGCCACCCAGGATGTCTGACCTGAAAGCAGAATAATAGCTGCAATAAACCCTCTCCTTTTTAGAGATAATTCCATTGCAACTAATTTGCTCAGCATGTGTCAGAGACACGTTAGTCAACCTAAACCAGCACCATCAACATTTATATCACTGTCACCATTACAGCAATCCCCCCTCATCCATCGGGGACACATTCCAAGATTCCCAGTGGATGCCTGAAACCACAGACAGCATCGAATCCTATATATACTATATTTTTTCCTATACATACATACCTATGACAAAGTTTAACTTATAAATTAGGCACAGTAGGGTATTAACAACAGTAATAAATAGAGCAATTATAATAATATATGGTAATAAATGTTATGTGAATGTCTCTGTGTCCCTCTCAAAATATCTTATTGTACTATATTCACTCTTCTTGTGATGATGTACAATAATAAAATGCCTACGTGATGGGATGAAGTAAGGAGAATGACGCAGGTATGTGATGTAGCCCTAGGCTACTCGTGACTTTCTCATCATCTGCTTCTGACCTTGGCTGACCAAAAACTGTGGCAAGTGACACTGCAGATAAGGTGGGGCTACTGTACTGATAATTAAATCACTGGTACTGAGTGATTTTAGGAAAGTCTGCCAGAGTTTAGGAGAGCTAGACTCCTTCACCAGTCAATGAAAAAAATAGGTCTTAGTTGGCATTTGAGTCTCCATTATAAATTTCCTTCCCCTCCTTCATTCTCATTTTCTGCTCATTTATGAACAGGACTACATAATTTCCTCTTACCTATAACTGCCTTCCTTTTAACCTGCCCAAATTCTTCCCCCTTTGTCTCTTTTCCTTTGTCTTCTTCTCACCTCTGATTACTCATAACTGAGTATTTATCTTTATCATAACCTTTATCTTATAGGAACAGGAGAGGGGGCCTGACAGCAGGGAAACACCATGTGGAGATCAGTGTTGTAAGATAGCTCTGAGCTACACTGCAAAAATACAGAAATAGAGGAGATATTAGAAGAAAAAAATCATGGGGGGAAGAGCAAGGGCTTAAATTAGGACATCATTACAGTAAAGGCAAGACGGACAGATTTTTTTTAATATGCAGAAAGTAGACTTCAAAGGATGTGGTACCAGAGTGTAGAACAGTGATAAAGAGGAGACAGTGAAAAATACTGTGACATTCTCTAAACGGGCTGACAAGTAAATATGGTTCCTTTCACAGAGATGAGAAACTAAGGCAAATGATCAGGCATGAGGGAGTTGAGTTGTTCAGGTTTGGACATACAGAGCTGCATTTAGGAGTGATGTCCAATATGCCAATGGATAATCAGTGTTCTGAATGCGGCAGGAGAACTTCTAGATATTAAAGGATTAAGAAAATTCTGCAAACATTTTCTCCTTCGTTTCCTCTTTTCACTTTACTGAAACAAAGTATGTTTTCGAGAAGCTACTACATGCCAAGTCCTGAGATAGGCATTAGTGAAAAGCAAGGAAAAAAAAAAAAGTAAACATTGTGTCTGCTCAGGGCATTTGCAAGCTCTGGCGGGAAGATGACACCATAACAATGATATCATAACAGCACACAGTGCCGGGATGAGGTGAAGGTTACCAAAGGAAGCTTCTTGGAAGAGATAGCATTTATCAGGGATAGACTGTGCTTACTCAGGTTCCTTAACTCACTGATGCCTGGGGGGGAATGATACATGCTTGCTGCTTCCCTTCACAGCTTGGGCATCCCTTGCAGTTTTGGGCAGACTATAAGGCAGATTGCCACCCCCCCCCCCCCCCCAAAACAGTCACATGGACTTCACTACGCTCATCCACATTCCTTCCGTGGAAGTAATAGCATAACTTCTTTATGGAAGAGCTTCTGTTAATCTTCTACCTTGTATATCTTGGTAACAGTGTACTTATAACCCACTTCTCTGGAATCTACCCACCTAAACAGTCTACCGCACAGAATTAAGAGATGGAGGCAACTTGATGGCGACCAGATTGCTTCATATTCAGGCTGGCCCAGCAATTCCACTCCTAGGCATTTACCCAAGGAGAAATGAAGACACGCGTACACGGAAAGACTGTATAAGAATAGTCACATAAGTTTTACTCATAATAGTCAAAAACTAGAAACCACCCAAATGTGCAACAACTGCTGAATGGATAAACAAATTGTGGTATATCCATGCAATTAAAATATCACTCAGGAGCAATAGAAACGAATGGACAATTGGTAAAACAATGTGGATAATCTCAAAAGCAGTATGCTGACTGAAAGAAGCCACAGAGGAAAGACTACAGATTCTGTGATTCCACTCCTTGGAAATTTCAGAGAAGAAAAAACTATAGTTCTCAAAAGCAGATCGGTGGTTACCATGGGGCAGGGGAGTGGAGGAGGAGATGGACAGCAAAGGGGCACAAGGCAGTGTTTGGAGCGATGAAAATATTCTATATTATGATTATTGCAGTAGTTACATTACTGCATACATTTTTCAAAGCTCACTGAATTGTAACTTAACTTTGGTAAATTTATGTAATTTTACTTCCATAAAGCTGATTTAAAAAAAAAAAATCATGCCAGACTGAGGAGTAGCCAGACTGAGCATTCCCAGCTCGAAGATGCCCAGAAACTCTTCTACTTTAATGATTTAACTCAGACCTTGATACCTCCTGGCTGTTTCAGACTAAGGGTCCCCATAACTCACTCATCTTGCCACCCAGGCTAGGGGCCAGAGTAGCCTGCTCGCCCAGACAACTGATCACAGATAATCCTAAACCCCTCCTGCCCTGTACTAACAGCCTTAAAAATGGCAACACTTTTTCCAGTAGATCCTGGAACTACTGACTGGGGAAAACACCTGGTAAGGTTACACATTAAGGGGTCTGACTACTTAGTAGCTGGAATATAGACTCTGGATTCTTCTGTTGTTACTAGTGCCCTAAAGGGCAAGGAACTTGTTTGTTTGCTTTTTCAATGTTTGAAACTAGAGTTTCTCTACAGCTATTTGACTCCCTATGGTACCACCGAGATCTTGCTTTTCAATCATCCCTGTGGCTACAACCCCAAAGCTGATGCATGCCCATGTCCTGGAAGTGATTTGGGAAGGAAGAAAAGGGTCCCGAACATAAAACCAACCTTTACTGTAGCAAAGCCCTTAAGTCTGGGAGAGGTCCTGAGTTAAGACATGTATGGAAGGTTTGTTTCTCTATCACTATTCACTTCTTCCTTCATCCCATTGATCTCCTTAAGCAAAAATAAGTCTGAAATTCTGGAATAACTTCCTTTAAGTGCTACTTTAGAATTTCAGTAGCTATTAATAGAGAAAATTTATACCAGACACCTTATCAAAACTGGTTTGTTTGTTTGTTTTTTTCTTTTTGTACATTTGATGCCATATGAGGTAAACTTACATTCAATGAGTGCCATGTTGTGCCAAACACTGTGCTGGCTATTTGACGTCCTAGGCTAATCGAGTTCTCATGATATTCCTGGTAAGTCACCTATACCATTCTGTCTTTGAGGGGAAGTTCTCTAAGACTCACAGAATAAGTAACTTGCCAAACTTATTTAACCTTCAGCTAGCATAGAGTATGGATCTGCCTCTAGTACTATTTGATTTTCAAATGTTGCAAGGAAAAATAAATACTTTTGGAAATTACTGCGGTCTAAGACTTGGTTTAGAGGTGCCTGGGTGGCTCAGTCAGTTAAACGCCTGACTCTTGATTTTGGTTCACAGTTCCTGAGTTCAAGCCCCATGTCGGGCTCTGCACTGACAGTGTGGAGCCTACTTGGGATTCTCTCTCTCTCTCTCTCTCTCTCTCTCTCTCTCTCTCTCTTTCTCTCTCAACTCCTCCCCCACTCACGCTCTCTCTCTCAAAATAAACAAACAGACTTAAAAAATTTTTTTAAATAAAATAAAATAAAATAAAATAAAACCTGGTTTAACATTTATAAGGTCCTAGGTTTCAGTCCTTTCCCAGCCACTTACTAGTTGTGTGGACGTTAGGCACCTGAGCTACCTTCTACATTAGTTTCCTCACCTATAAAATGATGAAAATAAATCCAACTTTACTAAATGTTGAAAGAATCAAATAACATAATCCATACATACAATAGGCACAGTAACTATTAGCTATTGGTATGATCTCAAATACTAACCTGGCTCCAGTTGGAATAAACACAACACATATATACAAGTAGTGCCCTCAACTATTCAGAGGCTGAGTTTCCACACCATGGATCCTATTCCACCCTTCAATATGTTGTAGAACTTTTGGTTGGAAAAAATATATACAAAGATCCTGCCATTAATGAGTTTATAAGGACCATCTCTGCAGATTCAGGTTCTCTCTTTCCCCAACCATCTCTAAAAACTGACACTTGACCATGAAACCCTACTCCAAGACAGCCCATCCATTTCCTTGACTCACCTGCTCTGGGTACTTGCTGCCAACGATCTCTGCTACAGTGTTGAAGGAATCAGCATCTGGATAGTTCTTTGCCCCCATCTTCAGCTGAATAACAATTCTGTTCCCACGAGAAGCCATTCTTGACATCATTTCTGCATCTTCCACTGTAATACAGGCTGTTGGGATTTTTGGCACACCATCTTGGTATTCCTGAATACCTGTGTGAGGACTTGAGAAAAAGAAGGCACCAGGTCATCTTAAAAGTAAAAACGGACCAAAAGTATTTTTTTAAGTGTCTGTATTTGACATTTGATTCTCACTGATTTCCATTTGCATATGAGAAATATGATGGGTGGGCAATATTGGATTATTTGCTTTTGAATATAATTTTTCCTTTTGGTAAAAAATAACTTAGAAACCTCAACTTTACAATCATCTCACTGAAAACATTACATGACATTTATTTTGATAATGTGATGATCCTTTAAAGTTGCAAGTTTCCTCAAATTCAAAAGAACATTAACAGTGCCTTCATGACCAAGAGGTGAATGAATGCAAGTGTTCAAGGAGACCAAGAAAGCTCTCAAGTCCCTCAAAGCTGCAGACCAGAGGACCCACACATCTGGAGGAAAACTGCCCACACACATCCAGCTTTCTGGTCACTGACGGCTCTGGGCACGTTTTCTTCTCACTCATACACACAGAGACAATAGGGCACCTTGCAGGAAAACTAGGACAATGGGACATGCTTGTGTGTCCATGAAGAAAAGTGCCGAATAAACCCTGCTCCCTGATGTTATTGCCACAAGAAAGAGACAACTATTACAATTTTGGCACTAAGAAAGAAATATTGCCCCTATGGTCAAGTTTTTCCTGCTAATTTCCAGGTGCTTCTTAGATTACTAAAAACACTTGTAATTGATGTTTCTATTCATCTATTGTTGGCTCAACCTCTATACATGCTAATTGAGTTTATCAAACTCACTTTGTAAAATTGTTCTTTCAAACTGACCCTTTCCGCTCGTGAGGCACAACTCTAAACCCTCCCAAACCACAGCTCCCTCAGGACCAAGCAGGCACAGCTCCAAAGTGTGCACCACACCCTATCAGTGCATCCCATCTTCTGGTAAAGCACAAGCTAATGGCCTCCCTTTTAAAAGTAATTTTTCTTTCCTTATTTCCATGTTTGTCTCAGGTTGTCTCAGATTTGCAGAAAAAGCCTTTCTCCTCCTCTCAGCCACAACACATTTCTCTCCTACAGAAGTGATTCCAACCTCCACATGCATAAACACAATGTTCCAGTCTTATCACTGCTTTCTTGGTGTGACTGCATTGTTGTGACAATGTCAGATGACTATTTACTTCCTTAGAGAAACTGAACAGCAAAATGATTAAGAACAGAGATTTTGGAGCAAGACCATCCAGGTTCAAACCTGGGCTATGGCACTTATTGCTAATTGACCTTGAGCAAGTTATATATATTTGTTTCAGTGGCTTCATCTATAAATAAAAGTGATAATAATAATACATCCTTAATTCATAGAGTTATTTTGCAGATTCAGTGAATTTATACAAGTGAGTCAACTTGCCATGCATGAAACACAGCACTCAATAAATGCTAAATATTTATTTTGTTAACTTGTCTACTACATCATCCCTGTAGAGAGAGACTGTTTAATTTCAAATCCTTAGAACCATCTTAGCACTTCCTTTATGAACATTTCTTAAATGTTGACTGAAAATGTTAGTCTTCATCAAGAGAGGGACAAAGGACTTATAAACTCAAAAATTGTAACACAGAAACCCTGAATTGAATCACTGCTCTGGAATATGCCTAATCTACCCTAACTCCTGGTTCAAGATGGCCTATGGGGTCACATAACCTAGATAAAATCCTGGCTCTACCATTTTCTACCCACACGACATGAAGCAACTTAGATGACCTCTCTGTTTCTGAGTTTTCACATCTGTAAAGTGGAGAATAATATTAGTATTGACTAATATTAGCACCATATTAGCACTAATATTAGCACTAATATTAGCACCATAAGATTGCTATGAAGACAAAAGATATAGTATATGTAAAGAACTTAAAACAGTGTTTGGCACATCGTAATTATTTAGTAAACATTATCTATTATTATTTCTTCAGTGTTAATTTTTCCCATTGAGTTGACAGTGACTAATGACCAAAGGTACTTGGAAACACGTAGGAAGACAATCTAAGTATTTATTGTTTGGATTACCTTACATGATGTCTGGGATTCAACAAACTTTCCCGTTCTCAGACTTTCTTACTTAAGAAGTATAACACTTCACAACAGTCTTTTTTTTTTAAAGTTTTTATTTAAATTCCAGTTAGTTAACATACAGTGTAATATTGGTTTTAGGTATATAATACAGTGATTCAACACTTCCATA